CTGGGCCATCACCAGGGCCACCACCTGGGCTGCCACCAGGACTGCCACCCAGGTCATCACCAGCGCTGCCACCGGGGCCACCGCTGCCAGCAGGGCCACTGGGACTGCCACCAGGGCCACCGCTTAGGCTGCCACCAGGGCCACCACCTGGGCTGCCACCAGGGCCACCACCACCAACAGGGCCACCACTGGGACTGTCACCAGGGCCACCATTGGGGTCACCAGGGCTGCCACCAGGGCGATCACTGGGACTGTCACCGGGGCCACCATCGGGGCCACCACTGCCAGCAGGGCCATCACTGGGACTGTCACCAGGACTGCTACTGGGGCCACCAGGGCCACCACTGCCACCAGGGCCAACACTGGGGCCACCAGCAGGACCCCCAGGGCCACCATCTGGGCTACCACTGAGGCCACCACCGGGGCCATCACCAGAGCCACCACCAGAAACACCACCAGGGCCATCAGCAGGACCTTCACCTGGACTGCCACCAGGGCCACCACCAGGAACATCACCAGGAACACCACCAGGGCCATCAGCAGGACCTTCACCTGGACTGCCACCAGGGCCACCACCAGGAACATCACCAGGAACACCAGCAGGGCCACCAGCAGGACCTTCACCTGGACTGCCACCGGGGCCACCATCAGGGCCACCACCAGGGCCAGCATTGGGGCCACCAGCAGGAACACCATCAGGAACACCACCAGGGCCACCACCAGGAACACCACCAGGGCCATCAGCAGGACCTTCACCTGGACTGCCACCAGGGCCACCACCAGGAACACCAGCAGGGCCATCAGCAGGACCTTCACCTGGACTGCCACCAGGGCCACCACCAGGAACATCACCAGGGCCACCACCAGGGCCAGCATTGGGGCCACCAGCAGGGCCACCAGCAGGAACACCATCAGGAACACCACCAGGGCCACCACCAGGAACACCAGCAGGGCCATCAGCAGGACCTTCACCTGGACTGCCACCAGGGCCACCACCAGGAACACCACCATGAACACCAGCAGGGCCACCACCATGAACACCAGCAGGGCCACCAGCAGGGCCACCAGCAGGGCCTGGCCCGGGCCCGTGTGCGGCCGTGGTGGCGCTGGCCCCGCTCCCACAGCAGGGCCGGCCTGGGGGTGAGGATGGAGCAGGAGCGTGAGGGCATCTCCAGGGGCTCCTGCAGGGTGGGGGCACCTGCCTGGGGACAGGGGAAGGGGACGGGGGGGACACCCGGGGGGGCCAGGCAGGGCCATGAGCAGGGACAGATCCCGATGGGACCCCCGGAATGTTCTGGAACTCTGGTGGGCACGGGGATTGGATGGATGGACCGTGAGTGGCCGTGGAGATGATTGGATGGATGGACCATGGGGGTGATGATGTCGTTGACTTGGTGGCACCCCTGGAATGTTCTAGAACAGGGATGGGACAGATGGACCATGAGTGGCCATGGAGATGGTCAAACGACTGGACATTGAGAGTGATGACCTGGTGGGACCCCTGGAATGTTCTAGAACAGGGATGGGACAGGTGGACCGTGAGTGGCCATGGAGATGATTGGATGGATGGACCATGGGTGGCCATGGAGATGATTGAATGGACAGAAGGACCATGAGGGTGATGATGTCATTGAGCTGATGGGACCCCCGGAATGTTCTGGAACTCTGCTGGGCACAGGGATTGGACGGATGGACCGTGAGTGGCCATGGAGATGATTGGATGGATGGACCATGGGGGTGATGATGTCATTGACTTGGTGGCACCCCTGGAATGTTCTAGAACAGGGATTGGACAGATGGAGCGTGAGTGGCCATGGAGATGCTCGGATGGATGGACCATGAGGGTGATGACCTGGTGGGACTCCTGGAATGTTCTGGAGCTCTGCTGAGCACTGGGATTGTACAGATGGACCGTGAGTGGCCATGGAGATGTTTGGATGGACGGACCATGCTGTGATTGGCCATGGAGATGATTGGACAGATGGATAATGAGGGTGATGATGTCATTGATCTGATGGGATCCCTGGAATGTTCTGGAACTGAGCTGGACACGGGGATTGGACAGATGGACCATGGGTGGCCATGGAGGTGATTGGATGGATGGACTGTGAGGGTGATGATGTCATTGATGCGGTGGGACCCCTGGAATGTTCTAGAACAGGGATTGGATGGATGGACCATGGGTGGCCATGGAGATGATTGGATGGACGGATGGACCATGAGTGGCCATGGAGATGATTGGATGGACGGATGGACCATGAGTGGCCATGGAGATGATTGGATGGATGGACCACGTCATGATTGACCATGGAGATGCTCGGATGGACGGACAATGAGGGTGATGATGCCACTGAGCTGGTGGGACCCCCGGAATGTTCTAGAAAAGGATTGGACAGATGGAGCGTGAGTGGCCATGGAGATGATTGGATGGATGGACCATGAGGGTGATGATGTCACTGAGCTGGTGGGACCCCCGGAATGTTCTGGAACTCTGCTGGGCACGGGGATCCAGGGACACCTGAGAGCCCACCCAGGAGCTGGGGAGGGCCAGGATGGACACCTGGGGACACAGGGTCTGTCATTGTCCCCTCCCCACCATGGATGGACACCTGGGGACACAGGGTCTGTCATTGTCCCCTCCATGGATGGACACCTGGCGACACAGGGTCTGTCATTGTCCCTTCCATGGGACACAGGGTCTGTCATTGTCCCCTCCCCAGGACACAGGGTCTGTCATTGTCCCCTCCCCACCATGGATGGACACCTGGGGACACAGGGTCCGTCATTGTCCCCTCCATGGGACACAGGGTCTGTCATTGTCCCCTCTCTGGCATGGGATGGACACTTGGGGACACAGGGTCTGTCATTGTTCCCTCCATGGGACACAGGGTCTGTCATTGTCCCCTCCATGGATGGACACCTGGGGACACAGGGTCTGTCATTGTCCCCTCCCCACCATGGATGGACACCTGGGGACACAGGGTCCGTCATTGTCCCCTCCCTGGGGACACAGGGTCTGTCATTGTCCCACCATGGATGGACACCTGGGGACACAGGGACCCTCATTGTCCCCTCCATGGGGACACAGGGTCTGTCATTGTCCCCTCTCTGGCATGGGATGGACACTTGGGGACACAGGGTCTGTCATTGTCCCCTCCATGGGATGGACACCTGGGGTGGACACAGGGTCTGTCATTGTCCCCTCCCCACCATGGATGGACACCTGGGGACACAGGGTCTGTCATTGTCCCCTCCATGGGACACAGGGTCTGTCATTGTCCCCTCCCTGGGGACGCAGGGTCTGTCGTTGTCCCCCGATGGTGACAATGACCCCGGGGGTTCAGGGACACTTTTGGTGCTGCTTTTTTGCCGTTTTTTACATTAAAAGTGACGTCACCTGTGGGGTGTCACCTGTGCCATGTCACCTGTGCCATGTCACCTGTGGTGTCACCTGTGCTGTGTCACCTCTGGGGTGTCACCTGTGCTGTGTCACCTGTGCCATGTCACCTGTGGTGTCACCTGTGCTGTGTCACCTCTGGGGTGTCACCTGTGCTGTGTCACCTGTGGTGTCACCTGTGGTGTCACCTGTGCTGTGTCACCTGTGCTGTGTCACCTGCTCAGCTCTGTCCCAGTAACCCCCAGTGTTCCCAGTAACCCCCAGTGTTCCCAGTATGTCCCAGTGTTCCCAGTAACCCCCAGTGTTCCCAGTAATCCCCAGTGTCCCCAGTATGCCCCAGTGTTCCCAGTATGCCCCAGTGTTCCCAGTATGCCCCAGTGTTCCCAGTATCTCCCAGTATCTCCCAGTATCTCCCAGTGATCCCCAGTAGTCCCAGTAATTCCCAGTAACTCCCAGCAATTGGGAGTAACTGGGAGTTACTGGGAACACTGGGGGTTACTGGGAGCACTGAGGGTGACTGGGAGCACTGGGAACACTGGGAGGGACTGGGAACACTGGGAGGGACTGGGATTACTGGGAAGTATTGGGAAGACTGGGGGATACTGGGAGATACTGGGGGATACTGGGAGCACATGGGGTTATTGGGAGCACTGGGACATACTGGGAACACTGGGGGTTACTGGGATCACTGGGACATACTGGGAACACTGGGGGCTGAGCCCAGAGGCCACCCCGAGGATGGGAACAGTGAGGGGAGATGGGGACACTGGGGGATACTGGGAGTTACTGGGCGTTACTGGGAGCACTGGGAGATACTGGGAATTACTGGGGGTTACTGGGAGCACTGGGAGTTACTGGGAGAAACTGAGAACACTGGGAGTTAGTGGGAGTTGATGGGGATACTGGGAGCACTGGGAGATACTGGGGGATACTGGGAGGTACTGGAGGCTACTGGGAGGCACTGGGAGATACTGGGAGCCACTGGGAGAGACTGGGGGTTACTGGGAGCACTGGGAGATACTGGGGGTTACTGGGAGCACTGGGGGTTATTGGGGGTTGCTGGGGGTTACTGGGAGCTCTGGGAGATCCTGAAGCGCTCCCAGCAACCCCAGCGACACCATTAATCCCCAGTGACTCCCAGCGCTCCCGGTAACTCCCAGTAATTCCCAGTAACCCCCAGTCTCTCCCAGTATTCCCAGTCCCTTCCCATTTCTGCTCCCCATTGGTTCGTCCAGCTGTCAATCACATAATCGGCCCCGCCCCCCCCCCCACCCGCAGCGCCCCAAAGCCGATTGGCCGTTCCGTCCAAGAAGCCCCCGCCTTCCCCAGGCATCTACGCCCGCTGATTGGCTCAGCTCCTCCCGCTCTGCGCGCTGATTGGCCCGTTCGCCTCCACGCGCCGGAGGCCTCCTCCCGCCCTTTCCTTCCCGCCTTCTCCTCTCCTATTGCTCCCGCGCGCTGTCAATCCCCACTAATCCCCGCCTTTCCGCCCTCCCATTGGTTCTCCACAACGTCAATCAGTCACTGCGGGCGCTGATTGGCCGCGGGGCGGTGCGGGGGCGGGAGCAGCACGCCGTGCCCATCGTGAGGGGGACGCGGCCGCCATGGCGGCGCCTGAGGTGGCGGCGGCGCTCGGGAGCGGCCCCGGGGCCAGCGGAGCGGAGCTGCCCGAGCCGCTGGGGCTGCTGGAGCTCTGCGGGGCCTGCAGGCAGCGGCTGAGCCCGCAGCGGAAACCGAAGCTGCTGCCGTGCCTGCACTCCGTGTGCCGGGGCTGCATCGGCAGCGAGCACGGGGACAAGAACGGTAAGGGGATAGGGGGGATACTGGGGGATACTGGGGATACTGGGAGATACTGGGAGCACTGGGGGGTACTGGGGGTTACTGGGAACACTGGGAGATACTGTGAGATACTGGCAGCACTGGGGGTTACTGGGGATACTGGGAGATACTGGGGTGGCACACAGGGTTACTGGGATCACTGGGGGTTACTGGGAGCACTGGGGGTTACTGGGAATACTGGGAGATACTGAGAGCGCTGAGGGGTTACTGGGAGATACTGAGGGTTACTGGGAGCTGTGGGAGATTATGGGAGCACTGGGGGCTACTGGGAGCCACTGGGAGATACTGGGGGTTACTGGGAGAACTGGGAGAGACTGAGAGATACTGGGGTTTACTGGGGGATACTGGGAGCCCTGGGGGTTACTGGGAGGACTGGGAGATACTGAGGGTCACTGGGAGCACTGGGGGATACTGGAGGATACTGGGAACACTGGGAGATACTGGGGGTTACTGGGAGCACTGGAGTTACTGGGAGCCACTGGGAGATACTGGGGGTTACTGGGAGATACTGGGGGGCATTGGGGGTCACTGGGAGCGCTGAGAGATACTGAGAGATACTGGAGTTTACTGGGGGATACTGGGAGCCCTGGGGGTTACTGGGAGCACTGGGAGATATTGGAAAGACTGGGAGTTACTGGGAACACTGGGAGTTACTGGGAGCACTGGGAGAGACTGGGCATCACTGGAGGTTACTGGGAGCACTGGGAGTTACTGGGGGTTACTGGGGATGCTCAGGGGATTACTGGGAGCACTGGGAGATACTGAGAGACACTGGGGCTTACTGGGAGCACTGGAAGATATTGGAAAGACTGGGGATTACTGGGAACACTGGGAGATACTGGGGATTACTGGGAGATACTGGGAACACTGAGGATTACTGGGAATACTGGGGGATACTGGGGCTGACTGGGAACACATGGAGAGACTGGGAACACTGGGGATACTGGGGGTTACTGGGAGATACTGGGGGTTACTGGGAACACTCAGGGTCACTGGGAGCATTGGGAGAGACTGGGAGATGTTGGGGGTTATTTGGGTTACTGGGAGCACTGGGAGATACTGGGAGAGATTGAGAACACTGTGAGATACTGGGGGTTACTGGGATCGCTGGAGTTTACTGGTGGTTACTGGGGATACTGGGGGTTACTGGGAGCACTGGGAGCCACTGGGAGGTACTGGGGGTTACTGGGAGCACTGGGGGTTACTGGGAGCACTGGGGGTTACTGGGATCGCTGGTGTGTACTGGTGTTTACTGGTGATTACTGGGGATACTGGGGGATACTGGGAGCACTGGTGGTTACTGGGGATACTGGGGGATACTGGGAGGTACTGGGGGTTACTGGGGATACTGGGGGATACTGGGAGCACTGGGGGTTACTGGGGATGCTGGGGCTTACTGGGAGCACTGGGGGTTACTGGGAGCCACTGGGAGCTACTGGGAGATTGCCCTGTCCCCTCCTTGGGGACACCAACCCCGCTGTGACATTGTCCCCTCCCTGGGGACACGGGTGTCCCCTGTCCCTCCCTGAGGTGACCTTGGTGGCCCTGGTGGCAGTGGAGGTGACAGGGAGGTGACAGTGGAGGTGACAATGGAGGTGACAGGGAGGTGACACGGACACCACGGGATGACTCTGTCCCATTTGTGTCCCCTGTGTGTCCCCTCCCTGTACCTTGTGTGTCCCTTGCGTGTCCCCTGTGTGTCCCCTCCGTGTCCCCTGGGTGTCCCTTCCGTGTCCCTTCTGTGTCCTCTCTGTGTCCCTGCGTGTCCCCTGTGTGTCCCCTCCCTGTCCCCTGTGTGTCCCCTCCCTGTCCCCTGCCTGTCCCCTGCCTGTCCCCTCTGTGTCCCCTCCCTGTCCCCTCCCTGTCCCCTGCCTGTCCCCTCCCTGTCCCCTGTGTGTCCCCTGCCTGTCCCCTCTGTGTCCCCTGCCTGTCCCCTCCCTGTCCCCTGCGTGTCCCCTCCCTGTCCCCTCGGTGTCCCCTCGGTGTCCCCTCCCTGTCCCCTCGGTGTCCCCTCCCTGTCCCTGTGTGTCCCCTCTGTGTCCCCTCGGTGTCCCCTCGGTGTCCCCTCAGCGTTCGAGTGCCCCGTGTGCCACCAGCAGTGTCCCCTGGGTGACATCATGGACAACCTGTTCCTGCAGCCCAGCGCCAGCAGCCAGGTACGGCCTCATTAACCCTAATTAACACTAATTAGCGCTAATTAACCCTGGTGGTTAACGAACTGTCCCTCGTCCCCAGAGCTGCACCAGCTGCGAGGACAACGCCAGCGCCACCAGCTTCTGCTTGGAGTGCTCGGAGCCGCTGTGTGCCACCTGCGTGGGGGCTCACCTGAGGGTCAGGTACACCCGGGAGCACCGAGTGGAACCTCTGCGTGAGTGTCACCTCATTGTCACCTCCTTGTCACCTGTGTCACTGTGTCACCTCCCTGTGTCACCCTGTGCCCGTCCCCATGGCTGTGTGCCACCTGCGTGGGGGCTCACCTGAGGGTCAGGTACACCCGGGAGCACCGAGTGGAACCCCTGCGTGAGTGTCACCTCATTGTCACCTCATTGTCACCTCGTTGTCACCTCATTGTCACCTCCCTGTGTCACTGTGTCACCTCCCTGTGTCACCCTGTGCCTGTCCCCATGGCTGTGTGCCACCTGCGTGGGGGCTCACCTGAGGGTCAGGTACACCCGGGAGCACCGAGTGGAACCCCTGCGTGAGTGTCACCTCATTGTCACCTCCTTGTCACCTCATTGTCACCTGTGTCGCCTCCCTGTGTCACCTCCCTGTGTCACACCTGTGTCGCTGTGTCGTCCCCTGCCTGTGCCCGTTACAAGGTGCTGACTGTATCAGTAGGTCCATCTTGATGCCATTCCTGGTGCCACCCCATCCCCATGCCCATTCCCATGCCCATCCCCATTCCCATTCCCATTCCCATTCCCATTCCCATTCCCACTGTCCCGTTCCCATTCCCCCATTCCCAATTTTCCGATTTTCCCCGTTGCCATTTTCCTGTGTCCAGTTTCCCCCGTTCTCCCGTTGCCCCATTCCCAATTTCCCCCATTTCTGTTCCTGTTCCCCCATTCCCCATTCCCATTCCCATTCCCCCATTCCCCCATTCCCCCATTCCATGTTCCCAGTTCCCCATTCCTGTTCCCATTTGTGTTCCCATTCCAGTTTTCCCATTCCCATTCTCTGCTTCTCATTCCCACATTCCCAATTTCCCCCATTCCGATGTTCCCATTCCCAGTTTCTCCCGTTCCTGTTCCCATTCCCATTTCCTCCATTCCCATTCCCCCATTCCCATGTTCCCATTGCAATTCCCATTTTCCCAATCCCATTCTCCTGTTCCCATGTTCCCAATTCCATTCCTCTGTTTTCCCATTCCCATTTCCATTCCATCTTCCCATTCCCCCATTCCCAGTTTCCCCCATTCCAATTCCCATTTTCCCAATCCCATTCCCCCATTCCCATTCCCATTCCTAGTTTCCCCCATTCCCGTTCCTATTTGTGTTTCCATTTCAATTTTCCCATTCCCCTGTTCCCATTCCCAATTTTCCCCATTCCCTCGTTGCCATGTTCCCATTCCCATTCCTACCCCATTCCCATTCCCCCATTCCCATTCCCCCATTACTCCATTCCCATGTTGTTACTGCAATTCCCATTTTCCCATTCCCATTTCCATTTCATGCTCCCATTCCTCCATTCCCAGTTTCCCCATTCCCATTCCCATTCCCAATCCCATTCCCCCATTCCCATTCCTGCATTCCTGTTCCCAGTTTCACATTTCCCCCATTCCCAGTTTTCCCCATTCCCATTCCCATTCCCCCATTCCCGTTCCATGTTTCGAGTTTCCCCCATTCCCATTCCCCATTTCTGTTCCCATTCCCGTTTGCATTCCAGTTCCAATTTTCCCATTCCCATTCCAATTTCCCAGTTTTCTCCATTCCCCCATTCCCCCATTGCCACGTTCCCATTCCAGTTCCCCCATTCCTGTTCCTGTTCCCATTTGTGTTCCCGTTCCCATTTTCCCATTCCATTCCCAATTTCCTCCATTCTTGTTCCCATTTCCCCATTTCCCATTTCCCAATTTTCCCCATTCCCATTCCCCCATTTCTGTTCCTGTTCCCATTCGTGTTCCCATTCCAATTTTCCTATTCCCATTCCCCCATTCCCAATTTCCCAGTTTTCCGCATTCCCATTCCCCCATTTCTGTTTCTGTTCCCATTTGTGTTCCCATTCCAGTTTTCCCATTCCCATTCTCCCATTTCCAATTTCCCAGTTTTCCCCATTCCCAATTTCCCCCATTCCCTCATTTCCACGTTTCCATTCCCATTCCCCTATTCCCATGTTCCCATTTCCACGTTCCCATTCCAATTCCCAGCCCGTTCCCATTTTCCCATTTCTATTCCCATTCCCCCATTCCGAGTTTCCCCCATTGCCATGTTCCTGTTCCCAATTTCCCCCATTCCAAATTTTCCCTATTCCTGTTCCCATTCCCAATTTTCCCCATTCCCTCATTCCCGTGTTCCCATTCCCATTCCTACCCCATTCCCATTCCCCCATTGCTGCATTCCCGTGTTCTTATTCCAATTCCCATTCCCCCATTCCCATTCAAATTTTCGCATTCCCATTCCTCCATTCCCAGTTTCCTCCATTCCAGGTCCCATTTCACATTCCCCCATTCCCATTCCCGTGTTCCCATTCCAATTCCCATATTCTCAATCCCATTCCCCTGTTCCCATATTCCTGTTGCCATTCCCAGTTTCCCCCATTCCCCCATTCCAAATTTTCTCCATTGTTGTTCCCATTCCAATTTTCCCATTCCCAATTTCCACCATTCCCATTCCCCCATTTCTATTCCCATTTTCCCATCTCCATTCTCATTCCCTTGTTCCCACTTTTCCATTCCAAATCACATTTCCCTGTTCCCATTCCCATTCTCCCATTTTCCCATTGCCATATTCCCATTTCCCTATTCCCCATTTCCCCATTGCCACGTTCCTGTTCCCAGTGTCCCCCATTCCCCCATTCCATGTTCCCAGTTCCCCATTCCTGTTCCCGTTTGTGTTCCCATTCCAGTTTTCCCATTCCCATTCTCTGCTTCTCATTCCCACATTCCCAATTTCCCCCATTCCGATGTTCCCGTTCCCAGTTTCCCCCATTCCTGTTCCCGTTCCCATTGCAATTTCCTCCATTCCCATTCCCCCATTCCCATGTTCCCATTGCAATTCCCATTTTCCCAATCCCATTCCCCTGTTCCCATTCCCCCATTCCCATTCTCCATTCCCATTCTGCCAATTCCCCCATTCCCATTCTGCCAATTCCCCCATTCCCATATTCCCATTCCAATTCCCATTTTCCTAATCCCATTCCAGTGTTCCCATTCCCATTGCTTTTTTTTTTCCATTCCCATTTCCATTGTCCCATTTTCCCATTCCCATTCCCCCATTCTCATTCCCCCATTTCCATTCCATCTTCCCATTCACCCATTCCCAATTTCCCAGTTTTCCCCATTCCCATTGGGAATGGGGGAAAGGGAATGGGAATGGGGGTAATTGGGAATGGGAAAGAGAATGGGGGAAGTTGGGAATGGGGGAATGGGAATTCCCTTGGTCCTATTCCCAGTTTTCCCCATTCCCCCATTCCCATTCCCTCATCCCCATCCCCATTCCCATGTTCCCATTGCATGTCCCATTTTCCCAATCCCATTCCCCTGTTCCCATTTTCCCATTCCCATTCCTGTGTTTTCCCATTTCCATTGTCCCATTTTCCCATTCCCATTTCCATTCCATCTTCCCATTCCCCCATTGCCAATTTACCAGTTTTACCCATTCCCATTACTATTGGGAATGGGGGATTGGGAATGGGAATGGGAATGGGGGAATGGGGATGGGGAAATGGGGGAATGGGAATGGGAATGGGGGAATGGGAATGGCAATGGGAATGGGGGAATGGGAATGGGGATGGGAATGGGGGAATGGGAATGAGAATGGGGGATTGGGGGAATTGGCAATGGCGGAATGAGAATGGGAATGGGAATTCCCTTGCTCCTATTCCCAGTTTTCCCCGTTCCCCCGTTCCTGTTTCTGTTGCCGTTTTTGTTTCCATTCCAGTTTCTCCCATTCCCATTCCCCCATTCCCATTCCAGTTCTCCCCTTCCCTCTGTCCCCAGGCTCTCCATCCGTTCCCGACGATCCCAATGATCCCAATGATCCCATGGATCCCAACGATCCCATGGATCCCAACGATCCCAATGATCCCAATGATCCCACGGGTCCCGTCCCGTCCTGGTGCCGCTCGCACCCCCGGGAGCCGCTGGCGCTGTTCTGCAGCTCCTGCGAGAGCCTGACCTGCGGGGAGTGCCACAGGAGGGAGCACCGCCACCACCCGTGAGTCTAATTAGCGTTAATTACCCTAATTACTGCTAATTACTGCTAATTAATGTCATTGCTGCTGGCACTGACCGCACCCGTGAGTGTTAGTTACTGTCATTGCTGTAACGGGAGTGCCACAGGAGGGAGCACCGCCACCACCCGTGAGTCTAATTAGCGTTAATTACCCTAATTACTGCTAATTACTGCTAATTAATGTCATTGCTGCTGGCACTGATCGCACCCGTGAGTGTTAGTTACTGTCATTGCTGTAATGGGAGTGCCACAGGAGAGAGCACCGCCACCACCCGTGAGTCTAATTACTGCTAATTACTGCTAATTACTGCTAATTACTGCTAATTACTGCTAATTAATGTCATTGCTGCTGGCACTGATCACACCCGTGAGTGTTAGTTACTGTCATTGCTGTAACGGGAGTGCCACAGGAGAGAGCACCGGCACCACCCATGAGTCCAATTAGCGTTAATTACTGCTAATTAATTAATTATTGTCATTGCTGTAACGGGAGTGCCACAGGAGAGAGCACCGCCACCACCCGTGAGTCTAATTAGCGTTAATTACTGCTAATTAATTAATTATTGTCATTGCTGTAACGGGAGTGCCACAGGAGAGAGCACCGCCACCACCCATGAGTCTAATTAGCGTTAATTACTGCTAATTAATTAATTATTGTCATTGCTGTAACGGGGAGTGCCACAGGAGAGAGCACCGCCACCACCCGTGAGTCTAATTAGCGTTAATTACTGCTAATTAATTAATTATTGTCATTGCTGTAATGGGGAGTGCCACAGGAGGGAGCACCGCCACCACCCGTGAGTCTAATTAGCGTTAATTACTGCTAATTAATTAATTATTGTCATTGCTGTAACGGGGAGTGCCACAGGAGGGAGCACCAACAGCACCTGTGAGTGTAATTAGCGTTAATTACTGTTAATTAATTAATTACTGTCATTGCTGTCATTACTGGAACCGGGAGTGCCACCTGAGGGAACACAGACAGCACCTGTGAGTGTAATTAAAGTTAATTACTGTAATTACTGTAACTGGGAGTGCCACCGGAGGGAGCACCTACAGCACCCGTGAGTAACGTTAATTAGTGTTAGTTACCGCTAATTAATTAATTGCTGTCGTTACTGTAACCGGGAGTGCCACCAGAGACAGAATAGACAGCACCTGTGAGTCTAATTAGTGTTAATTACTGTTAATTAATGAATTACTGTAATTACTGTCATTACTGTAACTGGGAGTGCCACGATAGGGAACACCGAGTGCACCCGTGAGTGTAATTAACATTAATTACTGCTAATTAATTAATTGCTGTCATTGCTGTAACCGGCAGTGCCACCAGAGGGAACACTGACAGCACCTGTGAGTCTAATTAGTGTTAATTACTGCTAATTAATTAATTGCTGTACATGGGAGTGCCGCTGGGGGCAGCACTGACAGCACCCGTGAGTTTAATTGACGTTAATTACTGCTAATTAATGAAGTATTGTCATTTCTGTAACCGGGAGTGCCACCAGAGACAGAATAGACAGCACCTGTGAGTGTAATTAACGTTAATTACTGTGATTAGTGTCATTGCTATAATTACTGTCATTGCTGTAACCGGGAGTGCCACGATAGGGAACACCGAGTGCACCCGTGAGTGTAATTAACCTTAATTACTGCTAATTAATTAATTACTGTCATTGCTGATACCGGCAGTGCCACCAGAGGGAACACTGACCGCACCTGTGAGTGTAATTAATGTTAATTACTGCTAATGAATCAATTGCTGTCATTACTGTAACCAGGAGTGCCACGATAGAGAACACTGAGTGCACCTGTGAGTGTAATTAACCTCAATTACTGCTAATTAATTAATTAATTGCTGTCATTGCTGTAACCGGCAGTGCCACCAGAGGGAACACTGACAGCGCCTGTGAGTCTAATTAATGCCAATTACTGTTAATTAATGAATTACTGTAATTACTGTCATTACTGTAACCAGGAGTGCCAGGATAGGGAACACCGAGTGCACCTGTGAGTGTAATTAACCTTAATTACTGCTAATTAATTAATTAGTGTCATTGCTGATACCGGCAGTGGCACCAGAGGGAACACTGACAGCACCTGTGAGTCTAATTCATGTTAATTACTGTTAATTAATTAATTATTGTAATTACTGTCATTACTGTAACTGGGAGTGTCACTGGAGGGAATACCAACAGCACCTGTGGGTGTTAATTCATGCTAATTAATTAATTACTGTCATTACTGTAATTACTGTCATTACTGTAACCGGGAGTGCCACCAGAGGGAGCACCGACAGCACCCGTGAGTCTAATTAGTGTTAATTACTGCTAATTAATTAATTGCTGTACCCGGGACTGCCGCTGGGGGCAGCACTGACAACACCCGTGAGTCTAATGAACGTTAATTACTGTTAATTAATTAATTACTGTCATTACTGCTAATTACTCTCAGTACTGGAACCGGGAGTGCCACTGCAGGGAGCACCGGCGCCACCCGTGAGTAACGTTAATTACTGCTAATTACCGCTAATTCATTAGTTATTGTATTTATTGTAGCTGGGAGTGCCGCTGGAGGGAACACCGACAGAACCGGTGAGTCTAATTAGTGTTAATTGCTGCTAATTACTGTCATTGCGGTCATTACTCTCCATTCCCCCCAGCTCCCAGCCCGTGGCCGAGGCCGTTCTCCAGCAGCGCTCGGTGCTGTCGGCGCTGCTGCAGCGCCTGGCGGAGAAACACGGCGAGGTGCAGCGCTGCGGCGCCCGCCTGCACGCACGGTCAGTGTCACCTGAGTGTCCCCAAGTGTCACCTGTGTCACCTGTGTGTCACTGTGTGTCACTGAGTGTCACTGTGTCACTGTGTGTCACTGTGTGTCACTGTGTGTCACTGAGTGTCACTGTGTCCCTGACAAACACGGCGAGGTGCAGCGCTGCGGCGCCCGCCTGCACGCACGGTCAGTGTCCCCAAATGTCCCCAAGTGTCACCTGAGTGTCACTGAGTGTCACTGAGTGTCACTGTGTGTCACTGTGTGTCACTGTGTCACTGTGTCCCTGACAAACACGGCGAGGTGCAGCGCTGCGGCGCCCGCCTGCACGCACGGTCAGTGTCACCTGAGTGTCCCCAAGTGTCACCTGAGTGTCACTGAGTGTCACTGAGTGTCACTGTGTGTCACTGTGTGTCACTGTGTCACTGTGTCCCTGACAAACACGGCGAGGTGCAGCGCTGCAGCGCCCGCCTGCACGCACGGTCAGTGTCCCCAAATGTCCCCAAGTGTCACCTGTGTCACCTGTGTGTCACTGTGTGTCACTGAGTGTCACTGTGTGTCACTGTGTGTCACTGTGTGTCACTGTGTGTCACTGTGTCACTGTGTGTCACTGTGTCCCTGTGTGTCACTGTGTGTCACTGTGTGTCACTGTGTCCCTGACAAACACGGCGAGGTGCAGCGCTGCGGCGCCCGCCTGCACGCACGGTCAGTGTCACCTGAGTGTCCCCAAGTGTCACCTGAGTGTCACTGAGTGTCACTGTGTCATTGTGTGTCACTGTGTGTCACTGTGTGTCACTGTGTGTCACTGTGTCCCTGTGTGTCACTGTGTGTCACTGTGTGTCACTGTGTCCCTGACAAACACGGCGAGGTGCAGCGCTGCGGCGCCCGCCTGCACGCACGGTCAGTGTCCCCAAATGTCCCCAAGTGTCACCTGAGTGTCACTGAGTGTCACCTGTGTGTCACTGTGTCATTGTGTGTCACTGTGTGTCACTGTGTCACTGTGTCCCTGACAAACACGGCGAGGTGCAGCGCTGCGGCGCCCACCTGCACGCACGGTCAGTGTCACCTGAGTGTCCCCAAGTGTCACCTGAGTGTCACCTCTGTGTCACTGTGTGTCACTGTGTGTCACCTGTGTGTCACTGTGTGTCACTGTGTGTCACTGTGTGTCACTGTGTCCCTGACAAACACGGCGAGGTGCAGCGCTGCAGCGCCCGCCTGCACGCACGGTCAGTGTCACCTGAGTGTCCCCAAGTGTCACCTGAGTGTCACTGAGTGTCACTGAGTGTCACTGAGTGTCACTGTGTGTCACTGTGTGTCACTGTGTCACTGTGTCCCTGACAAACACGGCGAGGTGCAGCGCTGCGGCGCCCGCCTGCACGCACGGTCAGTGTCACCTGAGTGTCCCCAAGTGTCACCTGTGTCACCTCTGTGTCACTGTGTGTCACTGTGTGTCACCTCTGTGTCACTGTGTGTCACTGTGTGTCACTGTGTGTCACCTGTGTGTCACTGTGTCACTGTGTGTCACTGTGTGTCACTGAGTGTCACTGTGTGTCACTGTGTGTCACTGTGTCACTGTGTCCCTGACAAACACGGCGAGGTGCAGCGCTGCGGCGCCCGCCTGCACGCACGGTCAGTGTCCCCAAATGTCCCCAAGTGTCACCTGAGTGTCACTGAGTGTCACTGTGTGTCACTGTGTGTCACTGTGTGTCACTGTGTCCCTGACAAACACGGCGAGGTGCAGCGCTGCAGCGCCCGCCTGCACGCACGGTCAGTGTCACCTGAGTGTCCCCAAGTGTCACCTGAGTGTCACTGAGTGTCACTGTGTCATTGTGTGTCATTGTGTGTCACTGTGTGTCACTGTGTATCACTGTGTGTCACTGAGTGTCACTGTGTGTCACTGTGTGTCACTGTGTCACTGTGTCCCTGACAAACACGGCGAGGTGCAGCGCTGCAGCACCCGCCTGCACGCATGGTCAGTGTCACCTGAGTGTCCCCAAGTGTCACCTGTGTCACCTCTGTGTCACTGTGTGTCACTGTGTGTCACCTCTGTGTCACTGTGTGTCACTGTGTGTCACTGTGTGTCACTGAGTGTCACTGAGTGTCACTGTGTGTCACTGTGTCCCTGACAAACACGGCGAGGTGCAGCGCTGCAGCGCCCGCCTGCACGCACGGTCAGTGTCACCTGTGTCACCTGAGTGTCCCCAAGTGTCACCTGAGTGTCACTGAGTGTCACTGAGTGTCACTGTGTGTCACTGAGTGTCACTGTGTCCCTGACAAACACAGCGAGGTGCAGCGCTGCAGCGCCTGCCTGCACGCACGTGTCCCCTCAATGTCCCCAGTGTCCCCAATGTCCCCTCAGTGTCCCCAATGTCCCCAATGTTCCCAGTGTCCCCAATGTCCCCAATGTCCCCTCCATGTCCCCTGAGTGTCCCCTCTGTCCCCAGTGTCCCCAATGTCCCCAATGTCCCCAGTGTCCCCAATGTCCCCGATGTCCCTGTGTGTCCCCAATGTCCCCTGTGTGTCCCCAATGTCCCCAATGTCCCCAGTGTCCCCAATGTCCCCGATGTCCCCAGGTCCCGTCACATCTCGGACACGCAGAAGCAGCTGCAGGTGCAGGTGAAGCTCGCCGTCCTCCAGGCCATGAGGGAGCTCAACAAACGCGCCAAGGTCCTCATGGGGGACGTGCAGGTGAGAGTGCCACCGCCCCTGGCTGTCCCCAGTGTCCCCTCAGTGTCCCCTGAGTGTCCCCAGAGTGTCACAGTCGGTGTCAGTGCCATGGGGACACTGCTGGTGTAAATAACCAATGAGAAATCCAAATGGATAAATGGCAAAGGTTTGATTTTTGTGACCAGAATCCTCCCCCGAGTGTCCCCTGAGTGTCCCCTGAGTGTCCCTGAGTGTCCCCAAGTGTCCCCTGAGTGTCCCTGAATGTCCCCTGAGTGTCCCTGAGTGTCCCCTGAATGTCCCTCAGTGTCCCCTGATTGTCCCTCAGTGTCCCCTGAGTGTCCCTGAGTGTCCCCTGAGTGTCCCCCGAGTGTCCCCTGAGTGTCCCCATTGTCCCCTGAGTGTCCCCTGAGTGTCCCTGAGTGTCCCCTGAGTGTCCCCTGAGTGTCCCTGAGTGTCCCCTGAGTGTCCCCTGAGTGTCACCGAGTGTCCCCTGAGTGTCCCCTGAGTGTCCCTGAGTGTCCCCTGATTGTCCCTCAGTGTCCCCAAGTGTCCCCTGAGTGTCCCTGAGTGTCCCCTGAGTGTCCCCTGACTGTCCCCTGACTGTCCCCTGAGTGTCCCCTGAGTGTCCCCATTGTCCCCTGAGTGTCCCCTGAGTGTCCCCTGAGTGTCCCCTGAGTGTCCCCAAGTGTCCCCTGAGTGTCCCTGAATGTCCCCTGAGTGTCCCCAATTGTCCCTGAGTGTCCCTGAGTGTCCCCTGATTGTCCCTGATTGTCCCTGAGTGTCCAGGAGCTGAGCCAAATTATTATAAATGAAATAATTGATAATTATGAATACAGAATGATAAATAAACAATAGTAATAAATTCATGACAATTTTCAGTAAATTCTTGTCCCTGTGCTGTCCCCAGCGTGTGACCGAGGGCCGCCGGCAGTGCCTGGAGCAACGTTATATATAATATAAATAACTGTAAATAAATAGAAATAATTATAAATAAAATTATATGTAATTATAAAAAAATAATTATAAATAATAATGATAAATAATAACAATTTTAAATAAATTCTTGTCCCTTTGGTGTCCCCAGTGTGTGACCGAGGGCCGCCGGCAGTGCCTGGAGCAACGTTATATATAATATAAATAACTGTAAATAAATAGAAATAATTATAAATAAAATTATATATAATTATAAATAAATAACTATAAATAATATAAATAATAATGATAAATAATAACAATTTTAAATAAATTCTTGTCCCTTTGGTGTCCCCAGTGTGTGACCGAGGGCCGCCGGCTGCGCCTGGAGCAGCGTTATATATAATATAAATAACTATAAATAAATAGAAATAATTATAAATAAAATTATATATAATTATAAAAAAAAAATTATAAATAAAAATGATAAATGATAACAATTTTCAGTAAATTCTTGTCCCTGTGCTGTCCCCAGCGTGTGACCGAGGGCCGCCGGCAGTGCCTGGAGCAGCACTATATATAATATAAATAACTATAAATAAATAGAAATAATTATAAATAAAATAATATATAATTATAAATAAATATTGATAAATAAGTGACAATTTTCTGTAAATTCTTGTCCCTTTCCTGTCCCCAGTGTGTGGCCAAGGGCCACCGGCAGTGCCTGAAGCAGCATTATGTATAATATAATTAACTATGAATAAACATAATAATTACAAATAAAATGATGTATAATTATAAATAAATATTGATAACTAAATGACAATTCTGATTAGATCCTTGTCCCTGTGCTGTCCCCAGCGTGTGACCGAGGGCCGCCGGCAGCGCCTGGAGCGGCGTTGTATATAACATAAATAATTATAAATAAATATAATAATTATAAATAAAATCCTATATAATTATAAATAAATAAATAATGATAAATAATGACAATTCTAATTAAATCCTTGTCCCTGTGCTGTCCCCAGCGTGTGACCAAGGGCCGCCGGCAGCGCCTGGAGCGGCATTATATATAATATAAATAACTATAAATAATTATAATTAATTATAAATAAAGTGATATATAACTCTAAATAAATAATGATAAATAAAAATTATAAATAATTCTAAATAAATAATGATAAATAACTAATAAATAGTGATAAGTGAATGACAATTCTGATTAGATCCTTGTCCCAGTGCTGTCCCCAGCGTGTGACCGAGGGCCGCCGGCAGCGCCTGGAGGGCGTTATATATAACATAAATAACTATAAATAAATATAGTAATTATAAATAAAATTATATATAATCATAAATAAATAATGATAAATAATGACAATTCTAATTAAATCCTTGTCCCTTTCCTGTCCCCAGCGTGTGACTGAGGGCCGCCGGCAGCGCCTGGAGGGCGTTATATATAACATAAATAACTATAAATAAATATAATAATTATAAAGAAAATCCTATATAATTATAAATAAATAATGATAAATAATGACAATTCTAATTAAATCCTTGTCCCTTTCCTGTCCCCAGCGTGTGACCGAGGGCCGCCGGCAGCGCCTGGAGGGCGTTATATATAACATAAATAACTATAAATAAATATAATAATTATAAAGAAAATCCTATATAATTATAAATAAATAATGATAAATAATGACAATTCTAATTAAATCCTTGTCCCTTTCCTGTCCCCAGCGTGTGACTGAGGGCCGCCGGCAGCGCCTGGAGCGGCGTTATATATAATATAAATGACTATAAATAATTATAAATAATTATAATTAAAGCGATATATAATTCTAAATAAATAACGATAAATAAAAATTATAAATAATTCTAAATTAATAATGATAAATAACTAATAAATAATGATAAGTGAATGACAATTCTGATTAGATCCTTGTCCCTGTGCTGTCCCCAGCGTGTGACCGAGGGCCGCCGGCAGCGCCTGGAGCGGCGTTGTATATAACATAAATAACTATAAATAAATATAATAATTATAAATAAAATGATCGATATTTATAAATAAATAATGATAAATAATGACAATTCTGATTAGATCCTTGTCCCTGTGCTGTCCCCAGCGTGTGACCGAGGGCCGCCGGCAGCGCCTGGAGCGGCATTGTATATAACATAAATAACTATAAATAAATATAATAATTATAAATAAAATGATCGATATTTATAAATAAATAATGATAAGTGAATGACAATTCTGATTAGATCCTTGTCCCCGTGCTGTCCCCAGCGTGTGACCGAGGGCCGCCGGCAGCGTTTGGAGCGGCAGCGCCGGGAGCTGAGCCGGCTGCGGCGGCTGCAGGAGCACGCGCTGCGCTTCGGGAAACGGGCGCTGCACGGGAGGCACGGCACCGCCCTGCTGCTGTCCCGGAGGCTGGTGAGACCCCAAAAACCCCAAATTGTGCCCCAAAATACACCCTGGGACCCCCCAAATACAGCCAGGGAACCCCCAGAGCACGCGCTGCGCTTCGGGAAACGGGCCCTGCACGGCAGGCACGGCACCGCCCTGCTGCTGTCCCGCAGGCTGGTGAGACCCCAAAAACCCCAAATTGTACCCCAAAATACACCCCAAATACAGCCAGGGATCCCCCAGAGTGCGCGCTGCGCTTCGGGAAACGGGCCCTGCACGGGCGGCACGGCACCGCCCTGCTGCTGTCCCGGAGGCTGGTGAGACCCCAAAAACCCCAAATTGTACCCCAAAATACACCCCAAATACAGCCAGGGATCCCCCAGAGTGCGCGCTGCGCTTCGGGAAACGGGCCCTGCACGGGCGGCACGGCACCGCCCTGCTGCTGTCCCGCAGGCTGGTGAGACCCCAAAAACCCCAAATTGTGCCCCAAAATACACCCTGGGACCCCAAAATGTACCTCCAAATACACCCAGAGAACCCCCCAAATACACACAGGGACCCCTGAGGGTGCAGGTGGCACCTGGGGACACTTGTGGCCTTTGTGGTTGTGACTCTGTGCTCTCACAGTTGAGCCAGCCTCGTTTCCTCCCATTTTCCCTATTCCTCCCCATTTTCCCCATTCCTCCCCATTTTCCCCCATTCTTCTCTATTTTTCCCATGTTTTCCAAATTTCTCCCCATTTGACCCCATTTCTCCACATTTTCCCCCATTTCTCCCCATTTCTCTGTTTTCCCCATTTTCTCCACTGTTTTCTCCCCATTTTTCCCCATTTTCCCCCATTTCTCCCCATTTTTCCCTGTTTCCCCCCGTTTTCTCAATTTTCTCAGTTTTTCCTTATTTTCCCCCATTTTCCCCATTCCTCCCCATTTTCCCCCATGTTCTCCCTGTTTTTCCCCATTGTCCCCATTTCCCCAATTTTTCCCCATTTCTCCCCATTTTTCCCCATTTTCCCCCATTTCTCCCCATTTTTCCCTGTTTCCCCCCGTTTTCTCAATTTTCTCAGTTTTTCCTTATTTTCCCCCATTTTCCCCATTCCTCCCCATTTTCCCCCATGTTCTCCCTGTTTTTCCCCATTGTCCCCATTTCCCCAATTTTTCCCCATTTCTCCCCATTTTTCCCCATTTCTCCCCATTCCTCCCCATTTTCTCCTTCCCACGGCACTGCCCTGCTGCTCTCCAGGAGGCTGGTGAGACACAGACAAACCCCCAAATACCCCAAAATGTGCCTCAAAATGTGCCCTGGGAACCCCCAGATACACCCAGGGACCCCTGAGGGACAGGGTGGCACTTGGGGACACTTGTGGCCTTTTTAGCTGGGACTCTGTGCTCTCACAATGGAGCCAGCCCCATTTCCTCCACTGTTTTCTCCACTATTTTCTCCCCATTTCCCCCCAGTTTCCCCATTCCTCCCCATTTCCCCCCAATTTTCCCATTCCTCCCCATTTCCCCCCAATTTCCCCATTCCTCCCCATTTCCCCCCATTCTTCTCTATTTTTCCCATGTTTTCCAAATTTCTCCCCATTTGACCCCATTTCTCCACATTTTCCCCCATTTCTCCTGATTTCTCTTCATTTTTCCCCATTTTTCCCCATTTCCCCCATTTCCCCCCCATGTTTCTCCATTTCTCCCCATTCCTCCCAATTTTTTCTCCATTTTTCCCCATTTCTCCCCACATTTTCTTTCTGTTTCTCCCCATTTTTTCCCCATTCCTCCCCATTTCCCCCCATTTTCCCTATTCCTCCCCATTTTCCCCCATTTTCCCCCATTTTCCCCTATTTTTCCCATGCTTTCCAAATTTCTCCCCATTTGACCCCATTCCTCCACATTTCCCCCGTTTCTCCTGATTTCTTTTCATTTCTCTCCATTTTTCCCCATTTCTCCCAATTTTTCTGTTTTCCCCATTTTCTCCCCTGGGGGTGTCAGCGTCCCCCTGATGTCCCCAATGTGTCCCCAATGTGTCCCCAATGTGTCCCCAGGTGCAGGCCCAGCTGCTCGGGGCCCTGGGGGTGTCAGTGTCCCCCTGATGTCCCCAGTGTGTCCCCCTGATGTCCCCAATGTCCCCCCAGGTGCAGGCCCAGCTGTTGGGGGCCCTGGGGGTGTCAGTGTCCCCCTGATGTCCCCAATGTGTCCCCAGTGTCCCCCCAGGTGCAGGCCCAGCTGCTTGGGGCCCTGGGGGTGTCATTGTCCCCAATGTCCCCAATGTCCCCAATGTGTCCCCAATGTCCCCAATGTCCCCCCAGGTGCAGGCCCAGCTGCTTGGGGCCCTGGGGGTGTCATTGTCCCCAATGTCCCCAATGTCCCCACTGTCCCCAATGTGTCCCCAATGTCCCCAATGTGTCCCCAGGTGCAGGCCCAGCTGCTCGGGGCCCTGGGGGTGTCAGTGTCCCCCTGATGTCCCCAGTGTGTCCCCAATGTGTCTCCAATGTCCCCCCAGGTGCAGCTGCAGCTGTTGGGGGCCCTGGGGGTTCCATGATGTCCCCATTGTCCCCAATGTCCCCGTTGTGTCCCCAATGTCCCCCCAGGTGCAGGCGCAGCTGCTCGGGGCCCTGGGGGTGTCAGTGTCCCCAATGTCCCCAATGTCCCCACTGTCCCCAATGTGTCCCCAATGTCCCCAATGTGTCCCCAGGTGCAGGCGCAGCTGCTCGGGGCCCTGGGGGTGCCCCTGGAGCCCCCCGAGCCTCAGGGGGAGCTGAAATTCCAATGGGACCGGCAGGGATGGACACGGAGCGCACAGAGCTTCGGTGAGGGACATGGGGACACTGGGGACATGGGGACACTGAGGGGACATGGGGACACAGGGGACATGGGGACACTGGGGACATGGGGACATGGGGACACAGGGGACATGGGGACATTGGGGACACTGAGGGGACCGGCAGGGATGGACACGGAGCGCACAGAGCTTCGGTGAGGGACATGGGGACATGGGGACATGGGGACACTGAGGGGACATGGGGACACTGGGGACACTGAGGGGACCGGCAGGGATGGACACGGAGTGCACAGAGCTTTGGTGAGGGACATGGGGACATGGGGACATGGGGACATGGGGACACTGAGGGGACACGGGGACATGGGGACATGGGGACATGGGGACACTGAGGGGACACGGGGACATGGGGACATGGGGACATGGGGACACAGGGGACATGGGGACATGGGGACATGGGGACATGGGGACACTGAGGGGACATGGGGACATTGGGGACACTGGGGACATGGGGACATGGGGACATGGGGGCACTGGGGACACTGAGGGGACATGGGGACATTGGGGACACTGGGGACATGGGGACATGGGGACATGGGGGCACTGGGGACACTGAGGGGACATGGGGACATGGGGACATGGGGACACTGAGGGGACATGGGGACATGGGGACATGGGGACACTGGGGACATGGGGACATGGGGGCACTGGGGACACTGAGGGGACATGGGGACATTGGGGACATTGGGACCGGCAGGGATGGACACGGAGCGCCCAGAGCTTCAGTGAGGGACATGGGGACACTGGGGACATGGGGACACTGGGGACACTGAGGGGACATTGGGGACACTGAGGGGACAATGGGGACATTGGGGACATTGGGGACATGGGGACAGTGGGGACACTGGGGACATTGGGGACACTGAGGGGACACCGGGGGGACACTGGGGGACAGGGTCACAAGGGACAGGGGCACGGGGTGACAAAGGACGGGAGGGCTGAGGGCAGCGGTGACAGAGGGACCCAGGGAGGGGGGACGGGGGACAAAGGATGGCAGGGAGGGGGTGACAGTGACATGGGGGTGTCAGGGAGGGGGTGGCAGGGGACACACTGGTGACAATGACACAGGGGTGACAGTGACATGGGGGTGACAGTGACACGGGTGACACGGGAGGGTGACAATGACAGGGGGGGTGACAATGACACAGGGGGTGACAATGACACAGGGGGGCGACAGTGACCCGGGTGGCAGTGACATGGGGAGGGGGGGGTGACAATGACAAGGGGGGTGTCAGGGAGGGGGTGACAGTGACACAGGGGGGGTGACAGGTGACATGGGGGGGTGACAATGACACAGGGGGCGACAGTGACACGGGTGGCAGTGACAGGGGGAGGGGGTGACAATGACAAGGGGGGTGTCAGGGAGGGGGTGACAGTGACACAGGGGGGTGACAATGACACGGGGGTGACAGTGACATGGGGGGGTGGCAGTGACAGGGGAGGGGGTGACAATGACACGGGGGGGGGTGACAGTGACACGGGGGGGGTGCCAGGTGACCCCGGTGTCCCTGACCCCTCCCCCCCCAGGTGCCATCGTCTCGGAGCCGCCCCTCCCCCCCCCGCGGAGCCCCGCCCACGGCCCCTCCCCCACCCAGCAGGTAATGGGGGACACTGGGGGTGCCACCCCCCCACAATGTCCCCAACCCCCCTGTGATTGTCCCCAGTGTCCCCACCCCTCCGTGATGTTCCCTACAGGTACCTGGGTGACATTCTGGAGGTGCCACCCCCACCATGATGTCCCCACCCTTCCATGATTGTCCCCATCCCCCTGTGATTGTCCCCAATGTCCCCACCTCTCCCCGATGTCCCCACCGGTACCCTGGTGACATTCCGGGGTGCCACCCCCTGATGTCCCCTCCCTGTGGTGTCCCCAGGCTGTCCCGCGCCCCCGGTGGCCCCGGAGCTGCTCCTGCAGGGCCCCCCCCGGCTGTCACCTCCCCCCCAGGTGTCACCTCCCCCCCGGATGTCACCTCCCCCCCTGGAGCCCGCGGCCACCCCCAGCCCACAGCGCGGTGAGGGGACACGGGGGACACAGGGACAGGGGAGGGGACACAGGGACAGGGGAGGGGACACAGGGACAGGGACAGGGGACCGGGGAGGGGACACAGGGACAGGGGATGGGGGACACAGGGACAGGGGATGGGGGAGGGGACACTGGGACAGGGGATGGGGGACATGGGGACACAGGGACCGGGGAGGGGACACAGGGACAGGGGAGGGGACAGGGATGGGGACACGGGACAGGACAGGGGACAGAGGGACAGGGAATGGGGACATGGGGACAGGGGAGGGGACATGGGGACACTGGGATGGGATACAGGGACAGGGGACAGGGGAGGGGACACAGGGACAGGGGATGGGGGGGACATGGGAGGGGACAGGGATGGGGACACGGGACAGGGACGGGGGGACAGAGGGACAGGAATGGGGACATGGGGACACGGATGGGGACACGGGACAGGGGATGGGGACACAGAGGGACAGGGGGACATGGGGACGGGGGAGGGGACATGGGGACACTGGGATGGGGATACGGGAACAGGGGACAAGGGAGGGGACGGGGTGGGGACACAGAGGGATAGGAGAGGGGGACACGGGGACGGGGACACGGGAGGGGACATGGGATGGGGACGAAGGGACACAGGGAGGGGACACAGGAAGGGACAGGGGATGGGGACGCAGTGAGGGGACAGGAGGGGACAGGGGAGGGGACATGGGAGGGGGACAGGGGAGGGGACACAGGAAGGGGAGGGGAAATGGGGACAGGGGAGGGGACACGGGGACAGGGATGGCAACATGGGGACGGGACAGGGGAGGGGACGTGGGAGGGGACATGGGGACAGGGACACAGGAGGGACGTGAGGAGGGGACATGGGGACAGGGACACAGGAGGGGACAGGGGAGGGACATGGGGACAGGGACGCAGGAGGGGACAGGGGAGGGACATGGGGACATGGGGACAGGGCAGGGGACACGGGGAGAGGGGAGAGGAGGGGACATGGAAGGGGACATGGGGACAGGGGAGGGGACACAGGGAGGAGAGAGGGAAGGGTGACGAGGGGCCATGGGGACAGGGGACATGAGGACAGGAGAGGGGACAAGGGAAGGCAACATGGGAGGGGGACATGGGGACAGAGAAGGGGACACGGGACACGGGAGGGTGACATGGACAGGGATGGGGACAGGGACAGGGGAGGGGAACCGGTGAGGGAACACGGGGAGAGGGGACATGGGAGGGACAGGGGATGGGGACATGGGACACGTGGGGACAGGGGATGGGGACAGGGGAGGGGAACTGGTGAAGGGACATGGGGACACGGGAGGGGACAGGGGATGGGGACACATGGGGACACGTGGGGACAGGGATGGGGACAGTGACAGGGGATGGGGACAGGGGAGGGGAACTGGTGAAGGGACATGGGGACACGGGAGGGGACATAGGGACAGGGGACACAGAGACAGGAGAGGGGACACGGGAGGGGATGGGACAAGGGAGGGGGACGTGGCCAGGACATGGGAGGGGACACGGGGACATGGGAGGGGACACGGTGAGTGGGACGGGTGAGGGGACACGGGGACATGGGAGGGGACACGGTGAGTGGGACAGGTGAGGGGACACGGGGACAGGGGAGGGGACACAGCATAGTGACACGGGAGGGGAGATGGGCTATAGGGACTTGGGGATGGGGACACGGGGACAGGGGAGGGGGACATGGGACAGGGGAGGGGACATGGGGACACAGGTTGGGGACAGGGGAGGGGACCCTGGGGCAGTCCCTGATGTGGCATTTGTCCCCAGCCACCAGCCCTGAGAACGGCGTCACCGCAGGGAGCGCGTGAGTGGGGACGGGGGGCGCTGTCCCTTGTCACCCCCTGGGATCCCCCCTGTCCCTTGTCACCACCCCTGGGACCCCCCGTCCTTTGTCACCGCCATCCTGGCCCCTCCTGTCCCCTGCCCCAGGGTGACACTGTACCTGGTGACACTGTCCCTGTCCCTGTCCCTGATGCCATCTGTCCCTGTCCCTGTCCCTGATGCCTCTGTCCCTGTCCCTGTCCCCGTCCCTGTCCCTGATGCCATCTGTCCCTGTCCCCGTCCCCTGTCCCCGTCCCTGTCCCAGATGCCATCTGTCCCTGTCCCTGTCCCTGTCCCTGATGCCATCTGTCCCCGTCCCTGTCCCTGTCCCCGTCCTGTCCCTGATGCCATCTGTCCCTGTCCCCGTCCCTGTCCCTGATGCCATCTGTCCTGTCCCTGTCCCCGTCCCTGTCCCTGTCCCCGTCCCTGTCCCTGATGCCATCTGTCCCTGTCCCTGTCCCCGTCCCTGTCCCTGTCCCTGTCCCTGTCCCTGATGCCATCTGTCCCCGTCCCTGTCCCTGATGCCATCTGTCCCTGTCCCCGTCCCTGTCCCCGTCCCTGTCCCTGTCCCCGTCCCTGTCCCTGATGCCATCTGTCCCTGTCCCGTCCCTGTCCCCGTCCCTGTCCCTGTCCCCGTCCCTGTCCTGATGCCATCTGTCCCTGTCCCTGTCCCTGTCCCTGTCCCTGATGCCATCTGTCCCTGTCCCTGTCCCTGTCCCGCAGGAGGGTCCCCGGCCGTTCCCCCCGGGAGGAGAAGCTCGTTAAGAAGCTGCTCGTTAAACGGTAACGAGGGGGGAGGGGACCCTGTCACCCCGACCCTGTCACCCCTGTGTCCTCTGTCACCTGTCACCCTGTGACCCTGTCACCCCTGTGTCCCTTGTCACCTGTCACCCTGCCACCCTCTGTCCTTTGTCACCTCACCTGTCACCCTGGCCAGGGCCACCTGCAGCCCCTCCCAGGATGTCCCTGTCCCTGTCCCCAACCTTCCCCAGCCTTGTCACTGTCCCTGTCCCCAGTCCTGGGTCCCCCTGTCACTGTCCCCACCACCCCTGAGCCTTGTCACTGTCACTGTCCTCCAGTTCCCAGCTCTTGTCACCGTCCCTTGTCCTCCCGTGCCCTGTCCCTGTCCCTGTCCCCGAGCTCCCAGGGACCCCCGGGTGACATTGGTGTCCCCCAGCAGGGATCCCTGCTTGCTTTGGGGCAGCCCCCCGGTTTTGGGGTGCCCTGGTGACATTGCTGTCCCACAGAAGGGGCTCCCAGGGGTTTTGGGGTGCCCAGGTGACCCCACTGTTGCTCAGGAGGGGCGCCCCCCGACCCCCAGGGCAGCTCCCAGGGGTTTTGGGGCCCCCCGAGGTTTTGGGGCCCCCAGGTGTTTTGGGGTGCCCTGGTGACATTGGTGTCCCCCACGAGGGCTCACCCTCGGCGTGGGGCAGCCCCAGATGTTTTGGGGTCCCCCTGTGACCCCATTATCCCTACAGGAGGGGACCCCCTCGGTGGGGGGCAGCCCCCCGGGTTTTGGGGTGCTCTGGTGTTTTGGGGTGCCCTGGTGACCCCGTTTCCCCACAGACGGGGCCCCCCCTCGGTGTGGGGCAGCCCCCCGGGTTTTGGGGTGCCCTGGTGACCCCGTTTCCCCACAGACGGGGCCCCCCCTCGGTGTGGGGCAGCCCCCCGGGTTTTGGGGTGCCCTGGTGACATTGCTGTCCCCACAGACGGGGCCCCCCCTCGGTGTGGGGCAGCCCCCCGGGTTTTGGGGTGCCCTGGTGACATTGCTGTCCCCACAGACGGGGCCCCCCCTCGGTGTGGGGCAGCCCCCCGGGTTTTGGGGTGCCCTGGTGACATTGCTGTCCCCACAGACGGGGCCCCCCCTCGGTGTGGGGCAGCCCCCCGGGTTTTGGGGTGCCCTGGTGACCCCGTTATCCCCACAGACGGGGCCCCCCCTCGGTGTGGGGCAGCCCCCCGGGTTTTGGGGTGCCCTGGTGACATTGCTGTCCCCACAGACGGGGCCCCCCCTCGGTGTGGGGCAGCCCCCGGGTTTTGGGGTGCCCTGGTGACATTGCTGTCCCCCACAGACGGGGCCCCCCCTCGGTGTGGGGCAGCCCCCCCCGGCTCCCCAAGCAGCCCCGGGTGAGCCTGGAGCGCCTGGAGCTGGACCTGGAGCTGGACCCGGCGCAGCCGCCCGTGTTCCGCATCTTCCCCGGGCCCTCGGCGCGCGAGTTCAGCCTCATCGTCATCGAGCAGGGGACACCGGGGACACCGGGGACACCGGGACAGCTGGCACTGAGGGGACACCGGGACAGAAGGGACGGCGGGGACGGTGCAGCCGCACGGAGCGCCGCTGGTCAAGGTGAGTGACACCTGTGTCCCCTCCCCTGTGTCCCCCTCCCCATACCCCTTTGTCCCATCCCAGTTAGCGTCCCCTGTCCCCGTCCCCATCCCTTGTGTCCCTATCCCACCCACGTGAGTGTCCCCATTGTCCCCTCCCATCGCGCTCCAGTGTCCCTGTCCCTCTCCCCTGTCCATGTCCTTGTCCCCTGTCCCATCCCTGTCCCATCCCTGTCCCTGTCTCTAACCCTTTCTCTATCCCTGTCCCCTGTCCCCTGTCCCCTGTCTCCTGTCCCCTGTCCCTGTCCCCTGACTGTGTGCTTGTCTCTGTCCCTGTCCCATCCCTGTCCCATCCCTGTCTCTGTCCCCATCCCTGTCCCCTGTCCAATCCCTGTCCCCTGTCCCCTGCCTCCTGTCCCCTGTTCCTCTCCTCTGTCCCTCTCCCTGTCCCCTGTCCCCTTTCCCTGTCCCCATCCCTGTTCCTGTCCTTGTCCCCTGTCCCCATCCCTGTCCGTCCCTGTCCCCTCTCCTCTGTCCCCATCCCTGTTCCCTGTTCTTGTCCCCTGTCCCTGCCCCTGTCCCCATCCTCTGTCCCCATCCCTGTCCTGTCCCATCCCTGTCCCCGACCCTGTCCCCTGTCCCCATCCCTGTCCCCATCCCTGTCCCCTGTCCCATCCCTGTCCCCATCCCTGTCCCTGTCCCCTGTCCCCATCCCTGTCCCCTGTCGCCATCCCTGTCCCCATCCCTGTCCCCATCCCTGTCCCTGTCCCATCCCTGTGTCCCCGTCCCTTTCCCTGTCCCTGTCCCTGTCCCTGTCCCCATCCCTGTCCCCTTTCCCTGTCCCCCGTCCCTGTCCCTGTCCCTGACCGTGTCCCCCCTGCAGGAGGAGCAGCAGGAGTCGCCCATCGGTGACACCGGTGACACTGGGACACCAAACCCGTGGGGCTGCTGCCCCCCGCCCCGGGTGACCCAGCCCTGTCCCCGGTGTCCCCGGGGGGGTCCCCGTGGGCGTCCCCGGCGTCCCCGTGGGGGTCCCGGGGGTCTCGTGCTGCCGCGTGTGCGGCCAGGCCGGGGCCGTGGTGATGTGCGACCGCTGCCAGCGCTGCTTCCACCTGCGCTGCCACCTGCCCGCGCTGCACGACGTGCCCAGGTGCGGGGCCACCGTGGCACCCGGGGGACCCGGTGCCACCCCCCAGTGTCCCTGGGATCCATTGTCCCCTGTCACCCCCCTGGGATCCACCGCCCCGTGTCACCCCCCAGTGCCCCCCAGTGTCCCTGGGATCCATTGTCCCCTGTCACCCCCCTGGGATCCACCGCCCCGTGTCACCCCCAGTGTCCCTGGGATCCATTGTCCCCTGTCACCCCCCTGGGATCCACCGCCCCGTGTCACCCCCAGTGTCCCTGGGATCCATTGTCCCCTGTCACCCCCCTGGGATCCACCGCCCCGTGTCACCCCCCAGTGCCCCCAGTGTCCCTGGGATCCATTGTCCCGTGTCACCCCTCTGGGATCCACCGCCCCGTGTCACCCCCCAGTGTCCCTGGGATCCATTGTCCCTGCCACCCCCCTGGGATCCACCGCCCCGTGTCACCCCCCAGTGTCCCTGGGATCCATTGTCCCCTGTCACCCCCCTGGGATGCACCGCCCCGTGTCACCCCCCAGTGTCCCTGGGATCCATTGTCCCCTGTCACCCCCCTGGGATGCACCGCCCACGTGTCACCTCCTGGGACCTGGATCCACTGCCCCGTGTCACCTCCCCGGGATCCCCTGCCCTGTGTCACCCCCTGTCACCCCACAATGTCCCTGGTATCCATTGCCCTGTGTCACCCTTCAGTGTCCCAGGGATCCACTGCCCTGTGTCACCCCGAGTCCCCCAGTGTCCCTGGGATCCACTGCCCCATGTCACCTCCCTGGGACTGGTATCCACTGCCCCCTGTCACCCCACAATGTCCCTGGGATCCATTGCCCTGTGTCACCCCCTGGCACCTGGGATCCACTGCCCTGTGTCACCCTTCAATGTCCCCAGGATCCACTGCCCTGCGTCACCTCCTGGACTGGGATCCCCTGCTCTGTGTCACCCCCAAATGTCCCCCAATGTCCCCAGGATCCACTGCCCCGTGTCACCTCCCCGGGATCCACTGCCTGTGTCACCCCTGTCACCCCACAATACTCTGGGATCCATTCCCCTGTGTCACCTCCTGGACCTGGGATCCACTGCCCCGTGTCACCCTCCTAGTGTCCCCAGGATCCACTGCCCTGCGTGACCCCCCTGGGATCCGCTGCCCTGTGTCACCTCCCATTGTCCCCCATTGTCCCTGGGATCCCCTGCCCTCTGTCACCCCTCCCTGAGTTCCCCAATGTCCCTGGGATCCACTGTCCTGTGTCACCTCCCTTGGATCCACTGCCCTGTGTGAACCCGCAATGTCCCTGGATCCACTGTCCTGTGTCACCTCCCCAGGATCCACTGCCCTTTGTCACTTCCTGTCACCCCTCAATGTCTTTGGGATCCACTGTCCCATGTCACCTCCTTGGGATTCACTGGCCCTGTGTCATCTCCTGAGTCCCCCAGTGTCCCCGGGATCCACTGCCCCGTGTCACCCACTGTCCCCCAAATGTCCCCGGGATCCACTGCCCCGTGTCACCCCTCAGTGTCCCTGGGATCCACTGCCCTGTGTCACCCCCCCTGTGTCACCCCTCAGTGTCCCCAGGATCCACTGCCCGTGTCACCTCCCTGGGACCAGGGATCCACTGCCCTGTGTCACCCCCCCCCTGAGTCCCCCAATGTCCCTGGGATCCACTGTCCTGTGTCACCCCTCAGTGTCCCTGGATCTACTGCCCCGTGCCACTCCCCCATAATCCCCTGCACCGTGTCACCCCTCAATGTCCCTGGGATCCACTGCCCCGTGTCACCCCCTGGGATCCACTGTCCCTGTCACCCCCCGGGCCTGGGATCCACTGCCCCGTGTCACCCCCCCGGAGTCCCCAATGTCCCTGGGATCCACTGCCCCGTGTCACCCCCCTGGGATCCACTGTCCCTGTCACCCCCGGGCTGGGATCCACTGCCCCGTGTCACCCTCCTGAGTTCCCCACTGTCCCTGGGATCCACTGCCCCGATCCCCCATGACCCCGTTCCCACTCCCAGCCCCGTGGGCATCCCCATTCCCGTTCCTGAACCCCATCCCCAATTCCTCAGCCCTGAGCGGACGTGCTTGCTGTGCCAGGAGCTGCCCATGACCCCATTCCCGATCCCTGTTCCGTTCCTGATCCCCCATCCTGATCCCCATTCCCGATCCCAGTTCCCGTTCCTGATCCCCCATTCCTGATCCCCATTCCCGATCCCCAGTTCCCGTTCCTGATCCCCCCATTCCTGATCCCCATTCCCGATCCCCTGTTCCCGTTCCTGATCCCCATTCCTGATCCCCATTCCCGATCCCCAGTTCCCGTTCCTGATCCCCCATTCCTGATCCCCTGTTCCGTTCTGATCCCCATTCCTGATCCCCATTCCTGATCCCCATTCCCG